GAACGGGCCTCCGCAGCTGCAAGCCCGACGCTTCCGGCTGAAAATTTGGGCGCTGCCAGCTGCAGGCTGAGCCAGGGTTCGGCTTCCCAGAAGCCTGGCCACCCCCCAAGGGTTGCTATTTTGATTTAAATGTTTTACTGTATGCTGGGAACAGAGCTGTGGCTCTAGGCTACCTGGGTTTCAGACTCTCTGGGTTCAAATCCTGGCAGCCCTTTTACAAGGCCCATAAACTGGACAGATTACTTACCTTCTCTGTGTTTCAGTTCACTCATGAGCAAAACAGCGATAATGATGGTGATGCCTACTTCATAGGGTTGTTGTAAAACATAAACTAATCTGTGTAGCGTGTTTAGAAGAGTTCTATCTTAGTTATCTAGAGCTGCTATAACAAATTGCACAGCCGATGGCTTTGAAAAACAGAAATTTATATTCTCACAGTTTAGAAGTCTAGAAGTAAGAGCTAGGGGAAGGGAAAGGATTTCTCTCTCTGTGGCCTCTGGAGGAAGACCCTTGTCTCTTGATCATATGTTTCCTGGTTCCTTGGAGATCTCGAGGTGTCTTGGCATCTGTTTTACCCTATCTCTCACTACTTACCTGTTTAATCTCTTTTTATAGCTCAATGAGGTCAATTTAAAATACCCCCTGCATTAATCCTGCCTTGTTAACATAACAAGGACAGTCTATTCCCAAATGGGATAGTGTTACCACAGGCATAGAAGTTAGGATTTGCAACACATATTTCGGGATGGGCATAATGCAATCCATAATGTTCTACCCGTTGGCCCCCCAAAATTCATGTCCTTGCCACATGCAAAACATTTAGCCCATCACATCATAGGAAGGAAGGTTGGGCAATCTACTTCCATAGTGATACTGCCTCAGAAACCCAAGGAGGGGTCGCTATGAGTCAGGTCCAACTCCACGGCACATAACAACAACAACATCATCTCAAAAGTCTTAAATCAACTCCAAGTCCAAAATCTCATTTTCTGAATCATCTAAATCAAATATAGGTGAGACTTTAGGTGTATTCCATCCCGGAGGAAAATTCTTCCTCATCTGTGAACCTATGAAATCTACAAGTTATTTTCAAAGTACAAGGTGGAACAGGCACAGATAAACATTTTCATTATAAATGGGAGAATTTGGAGGGAGAGAAGGGATACAGGCCCAAGCAAGTCCAGCAGAACAAATTACATTAGCTCTCAAAACTTGAAAGTAAACCTGTTCTTTAAGACCACATGAGCAATGACTTCGCCCTCTAGACACTGGCTATTGGCCATGCTTTCTAGATTGCGGGTGGAAGTCCCTCAATCCAGGCTCCACTTTCCAGGCTAACTGGAACCACAACTCTGCTGTCAGCTTTTGTGGTCCCATTCTCCTAGTCTGAATGGTAACCCCACACTCCCAGCCCAGCCCAAGTTCTTCTGCAGCTTCCATGTGGCAGCTCTGCCCCTCAGCTTTGGGGACAACCCTGTCCTCCTGATATACCTTAATAACAATATTCCAACACTGGGAACCAAATTGGTGAAGATTCAACTCTTTGAAACCCAGGAGATCCAGGACTATGGCCACATCCTTTGAAATCAAGAAGGCCTTGCTTCTTGTACTTCTCCCCACAGTTCTGCTGATCTCCAAGATGCTCTAGGGATGGTCCTTTCCTTTTCTTGGAGAACAACAGATGTAGCCCCTTTGGCCTGTTTCCTGCCTATAGAATTCCAAAAGGTAGACAGCATTCTTTCCTTTCTTCTTTCTCTGTCCTTTTCAGTCTAAGCTGATGGGTTTTCTGCTGTGGTAGTTGGTTAGATCCTTTAGTCACAGGTTTAATTTCTTTAACAAAAGATTGTATAGCCACATCATTGGTGAACATTCTAGGCTACGTGTCCTTAGTTTGTACAACAGAATTTTCCAGATCTTTAAGTTGTGTTTTCATTTTGCATAGTTCATTTTTTTTTTTTTTATTGTGATTTGGGTGAAAGTTTATGGAGCAAATTCACTTTCCATACAGCAGCTCACATACACTTTGTCTCATGACATTTATTGCTATTTCCCACAATGCAACTACTCCCCTCCCACTTTCTCCCCATAGTTACCTCTTCCCTGTGACCTTCCCTTCCATGCACTCCTGCCCCCCAAGCTGTCTCCCTGTGCATACACAGCCCTTTTATTCTCCCATGATTGATCTCTCCAAGGAGTGTATCTACCTAATATAAATGTTCACCTCATATGCCTGTCTTTTGCTTGTCTGGAAGCCACAGGAGTGGGTTCAATTCCAGACCTGAAAGGCAGCTAGGGTCCATAGTCTCAGGAAACTTGCCCCCCCCCCTTTTTTTTAATGACTCTGAGTTTTGTTCCACATTGTTCTCCTACTCTATCCATGATCTCCTACATAGATCCGCCTCTGAGTGGTTGATAGCAGTAGCCGGGCGCCATCTAGTTCTTCTGGTCTCATAGTGATATAGGCTAAGGATTGCACCTGTAAGCTTTTAAGATCCCAGTCGCTACTTGCCAAAGTAAGATGTGGAACAATGTTTTTTTGTAGTATGTTACGACAATTGACCTTGATGTCCCCTGAGATGCATAGTTCATTTTAAATCTATATCTTTCCTCTCATATTTTACTATAATTGGCCAGGAGAAACTACATGGCCTATTTAAGATCTTGCTTAAAAATCTCATCAGCTAGATATCCAAGTTTATCACTTACAAGTTCTACCTTCTACCAAACATTTGAACATAAGTCAGACAACTTCTTTGCCACTGCATAAAAAACATCATCCTTCTTCCATTATCCAATCACATGTTTATCATTTTTTTTTAAAGCATTACCAGAAGCACATTAAACCAAACCAAACTCAGTGCCATCAAGTTGATTCTGAGTCATAGCGACCCCTATTGGGTTTCCAAGGTAGCAAATCTTTATGGAAGTAGATTACCCAGTCTTCCTTCCACAGAGTGGCTGGGGGGTTTGAACTGCCAACCTTCTGGTTAGCAGTCAAATGCCGTAGGCACTACGCTACTAGAGCTCCTTTAGCACACTTAGCGTCTACATTTCTGTTGCTAGCACCATATGTATTCTTTAAGACAATATAGACATTTTCTGTAGCTCTCCTTACTTCCTTCTGAGCCCTCACCAGAATTGCTTTTGACGTCCATAATTCTACCAGTGGTTACTTCAAGCCAATGTAGGCTTTTACTGCTGTTGTTGTTGTTGTTAGGTGCCATCAAATCGGTTCTGCCTCAGAGCAACCCTGTATATGACAGAATGAAACAATGCCCAATCCTGTGCCATTCTCACAACCATTTCCATGCTTGAGCCCATCATCCTAGCGACCGTGTGAATCCGTATCACTGAAGGTCTTCCCCCTTTGCACTGACCCTCTCCTTTACCAAGCATGATATCCTTCTCTAGGGATTAATCCCTTCTGACAACATGATGAAAGTACAAGAGACAAAGTGTGACCATTCTTGCTTCTAAAGAGCATTCTGGCAGTATTTCCTCTAAGATAGATTTGCTCATTCTTATAACAGTCCATGGTATGTTCAGTATTCTTTGCCAGCACAACTCAAACACATAAATTCTTTCTTCAGGCTTTTACTGTTAAGTATTTTGAAACTCTTCCAGCCTCCACCCATTACCCAATTCCAAAACCACTTCCACACTATAGGTGTTTGTTAGAGCAGTTTCTCACTCCTTTGGTACCAAATTATGACTTAGTTTTCTAGTGCTGCTATAATAGAAATACCACAGACTGATGGCTTTAACAAACAAAAATTTATTTTCTCACAGTTTTGGAGGCTAGAAATCCAAATTCAGAGTGCTAGCTCTAGAGGAAGGCTGCCTCTCTCTGTTGGCTCTGGAGGAAGGTCCTTGTCTCTTCAGCTTCTGCTTCCTAGTTCTTAGGAGATCTCCATGGGACTTGAATCTATGTGACTATCACTCTGCTTGCTTGTATCATCTCTTTTTATGTCTCAGAGGAGACTGACTCAATATACATCCTCTACTAATCCTGCCTCATTTACATGAAAGAGATAACCCATAGAATTTAGGATGTACAACACATATTTTGAGGGATACAATTCAGTCCATAACAAGTGCCATGCATATATGGTACATAGCACCTATGAATGTTTGCCAGCATAATTATTTATTATCCCTCGATCTTTTTCATAGTTCCTCCCTTTCATAATCTGTTTTTGTCCCCTTTGTCTTAGTTGTGTTATTTATTTAGCTAGTTTAGAGCTGATGTATCTGAGAAAATGTATTTTAAAATAAAAATCTTTTTAAGAAATCATTAAGTGGCCAAGCAGTAGGTTAGCAGTTATGAGAGTACTTATAACACCTCAGACAAGGGGCTCCTGGGACCATACGAGCTCCTTTGGAGACAAGCGTGAAGCAGGTCGTGGATGAGAATCAAGGATCACAGCTATACTAGCCCAGAGGTGGGATTTAATTGCAGTTAATGGGTATATTTGCTAAAACAGATTAGGTACACACTGTCCCTTATTCAGTGGTGGCTGTGAAAGGCCCATTTTAGAGCAAGTGTATGGTAAGCGCCATAAGTACACACACCATCTACCTTGTTCTAGCTGCTTGCTCATAGGAATGATTTATTTTCCTGGATTCCATGGCATTCTGTGGTGGGCAGTGCCCAAAAAACAACACACTCAGACAGGCTCAGTGGACAGATGGACAGTGCCAGATGCTCAATTAATATATATAGACTGAACAGAAGAAGAACTGATGCCCATATTGATTTCTCTTCACCCACAGTGCTAGGAGGATTGTTCTGGTCCCACCATGTGAGTCAGGGAGGCTGAAGTGCTGATGTCAGTCCTGAATAGAAAGTCCGATCATGGCATAGGTAGGGGTACAGCAGTCTATAAGATGCACAAAAGTCCAGCCTTTGTATTGACATTCTAGTCAGGGACCAATAATATTTAAGATAAATAAGTAAATTATGTAGCAGATTAGATGGTGATAAGTGCTAAAGGAGAAAAATGGAGCAGGAAAGGAAGAAGAAGTTATATGTATGGCAAGTGGTAGGGAATTTGTCATTTTAGATAAAGTGGTCACACAGGGCTTTTTTTGAAGATGACATTTGGGTGAAGATCTGAAGGCTTGAAGAAGGAAGTCATGCAGATGTATCAGGGAGAAAAGTATTCTAGGCAGAGGGACCAGAAAGTGAAAGAATATATAGGTAGAGAGTTCTTTGAACTTTTAGCCTCCAGAACTAAGAGGAAATAATTTCTGTTCTTTCAAGGCACCCGTTGATGGTATTTATGTTATAGCAGCACTAGATAATTAAGACAGAGATTATTACAGTATTCCTTCTGTAAGATGAGTGGTTAGAGATAGTAAGAAGTAGTGATATTCAGATGGATGTTGAAGGTAGGATTGATAGTATTTACTGATGAATGGGCATGGAGTGGGAAGCACTCCAAGGTGTTTGACCTGATTAACTAGAAGAATGGAGTTGCCATGAACTAGGAGGGGAAAATTATGAGAGGGACAAGTTTGGGGACAGTATCATAAAATTAGTTTTGAACATGTGTTGACAATGTCTATTAGACATCTGTTTAAGCTGGTAAGTAGGCAGTTGGTTATGTGAATCTGAAGTTGGGAACAGAAGTCTAGGCTAGCTATATCAACTTGGAAGTGCCATAAAGATGATATTTAAAGCAGTGAGCCTTGGTGAGATCACCCAGGAAGTTAAGCATACATAGAGAAGAGGTCCATGAGCCTTGGGGCACACCAAAGTTGCATGTTCTTTTGAAGAGGAAGGAAGGGAATCTGTTTTTTCTTTATTTAAAATTGAATAGTGGACCATGGTGAAAATTTAGCATAACTAATGACATTTGACTAATTTATTAACATTTTTTAGGAGAGATTAGTCTAGAGTTCAATGAGAAGTGTAATTACATTCTATTAACAAATATTCATTGATCTGTTTCCTAAAATAAATTAACAGTTTTCTATTTAATGTATCTTAAAAGCATAACTGCATAACTGTTATCTTTTCAAGACTGTATTTTATGTATAACAACCAACATTTATTTCAGAAAGAGAATTGTTGAGACTATAAATAAAGATTGTGTAGGAACAAACCACTTAGCTAATTTGTTGTCATGTGGGTTTCCATTCTAGGAAGCGGGGTTGTCATCTAAAAGTAGAGACATTTGGAATTTTGAGGAAAGCTGAAGAATGAACCTTCATGTTTCACTTGGATTATGAATGAGCCAGATTTGTCTGAGTCAGTCATGCAGAGTTAGGACTCGAAGGGACCTTTCTGAATCAGACATACAAAAATGAAGACTGAAGACCTTTAAGTCAGTGGCTTGTCCTCATAGGAGATATAGAGTAGGATTCTATGTCTTCCAGGCTTATGAAGTGTGACTAGTAACTTACTCTCTTTAAGCCTTGCCTTCCAAATCTTCAAAGAAAGAAAGTTAATATGTCTCTCATGAGGTTGTTGGAAGGATTGCCTGAAGGAGAAATATCTGTGTTAATACACAAATTTTAACAAAGTATATGGCACTAATTAAGCACTCAATAAATATGAAATATTCTTTTCTAGACATCCTAGAGAAAGTGTCTCTAAAGTTATTGGCCGTGATTTTAAAATATTATGTAGCACATAGTCATTTTGTGGTATCATTAGGAATAACAAAAAAAATATTATTCCAACTTTCTAAGTCATATCTTGAAAATGTATATATTTGTAATGAAAACTATCTATACTCCACAAGTCTATCACCCACAATAGGTCTTGTCCTTAAAATGGAAAGAAAAGAAAGAAAAACATTCAATCCTAATAAAAAATGAATTGAAGAGTAAAAAGGAGTGCTTTAGTATTGCGGAGAATAAGGGATTGCATTTCTAGACTGGAAAAGTTGCATCCTTGATATCTGTTAAATGTACATAGGGGTTTCAATGACTGATTTTTTTGGAAGTAGATCACCAGGCCTTTCTTCTGAGCTGCCTCTGGGTGAAATCAAACTGCCAATTTTTCATTTAGCAGCAGAGCCCATTAACTGTTTGCACCACCTAAGGGCTCCCTAAAAAGTATTGTGATAGCAAATGCAGAAATCAACTATCACCCAGGAGTGAGGAAGAGTAAACAAGGAAAGAAGTAAGAATTTAACAGAGCCCTCTACCACACCCTGAGGGCTGAGAGTAAGACCTCACTGTTGTTGTTGTTATTTATTGTCGAGTCGGCCCCGACTCATAGCGACCCCTCCTTGGGTTTCCGAGGCAGTATCACTACGGAAGTAGGATTGCCCAACCTTCCTTCCGAAGACCTCACTGGAGAGGGTAAAATTGCCACAGAAATTTAAAATCTACTGGTGACAAAGAAATTTGCCAGAGGGTGCAGACCACGGGTAGTATGCAGGAATGGCTTGCCTAGCGCCCAGGAAACTTGCTAAAGGGTCAAGCAGCCAAGTACTTTACCTAGCTGGGTAATCAAATCCTTATTCCTGAAGATCCCAAGTCCTCAAAACTCCTTTTATTGTTGTTTTGCCTGCTTTGTTTTCCCCTTAACCATTTTACTATTGGCCATGGAAATAGTAAGAGTTATCCCAGATAATCTCCTGGATACCAGCCAGCGGCCTCCATGACTATTGTGTAGCAACAACCAAATTTTCCCTTGGCAATCAGAATTCAGTCACTTCAGCCACTAGAGTGACCCCTGTATCCTTTTTTTTTTTTTTTTCTTTTGCCTTTGGTTTACTAGCATAAGGATTCCAAAATGGTCAGGTATATGTGTCACTGCCATTGTGTTTCCTGGTGGAACCATTGTCCCTTTGGGAACTAAGACCAGCAAACTGGCAAATCTTGAAGTTGCTGGGACTGGAAGCAAAAAAATTGTGGGTGAATTATTTGGTATAATAGTGAGAGGAGCTTCTTCCACTTCCATCCTTTGATTTTTGGAACCAAGTAATCTGGCTAGGAGCCCTGGTGGTAACAGTGGTTAAGCACTCTGCTGCTAATTGAAAGGTCAGAGTTTCAAACTCATCAGTTGCTCCATGGGAGAAAGATGTGGCAGTCTGCTTCTGTAAAGATTTATGGCCTTGGAAACCCTATGGGGAAGTTCTACTCTATCCTACAAGGTTACTACTAAGGTTACTAAGAGTTGGAATTGACTCAATGCCAGTAGAGCTTTTTGGTTGGGTAGTCTGGCTGTAGGAGAGATAATGTAATGATTCAAAGCATATGTGTACTGAATACTTGAAGAATGTATATGATTTTTAAAAACATAAAATATTTTGAAATTGCAATTCTACAAAAAGTTTTGCCAGAAAGAACTAAGAATTTCATGATCCTTTCACCTGTTATTGTTGTTAGGGACCTTTGAGTTAGCTCCAACTCATAGTGACCCTATGTACAAGAGAACAAAACATTGCCTGGTCCTGTGTCATCCTCACAGTCATTGTCATACTTGAGCCCATAGTCTCAGCCACTATGTCAATCCATCTCGTTGAAGTTTTTTCTGTTTTTCACTGACCCTCTACTTTACCAAGCATGATATCCTTCTCCAGGGACTGGTCCCTTCTGACGAAATGACCAAAGTAGGTGGGACAAAATCAGGCCATTTTGTTTCCAAGGAGCATTCCAGCTGCACTTCTTTCAGGACAGATTTGTTCATTCCTCTGGCAATCCATGGTATTTTCAGTATTCCTTCACTTAGACTCCTCCATTCTTAACATTTTGCCCTATATACTTCTTATCTCTATTTCTCTCTTTCATGCTTTCTGTACACATAACCAAAACCAAACCAAACGCACTGCCATCAAATCGGATCCGACTCATAGTGACCCCTCCTTGGGTTTCTGAGGTGGTGGTTGTTGTTGTTATGTGCCATTGAGTTGGACCTGACTCATAGCAACCCCTCCTTGGGTTTCTGAGGCAGTATCACTATGGAAGTAGATTGCCCTATCTTCCTTTTGAGGAGTGGCTGGTGGGTTTGAACTGCCAGCCTTCTGGTTAGCAGTCAAATGCCTTACACACTACGCCACCACAGCTCCCTCTGTCCACATATTCTTTTTCAAAGCCTTTTGAGAGCAACCTATAGACATGGTGCCCATCACTCCTAACTACTCCAGTGTGTTTTTCTCAAAAAGGAGGACACTTCCCTACATAACCAGAACTAGCATGCTACTTTCTAAATTAGAAAATCAACATTGACACCGAAACACCATCCAATCCACAGACTATTCAAGTTGTGCCAAGTGCATGAATAATGATCGTTTTTCCTTTCTGGTCAAGAATCCTATCTAAGAATATGATTTGTCTTCAACTATCATGTCTCTTCAGATACGATACTTTCAGTCTGGAGTAGTCTCTTAGTCTTCCCTTCTCTTTTATACCCTTGATTCTTTTTAAAATTACAGACTTTACATTTAATTGTATGTCTAGCTTTAATTGTATCCATTTGATGTTTCCTCACAACCACTCAGATAATGCATTCTGGGAAGGCTTATAAGAAAGGAAGTTGTGCTCTTCTCAGTGCATCAGCTTTGGGAGTCACATGTCAACATATCCCCCCATTGGTGCTTTGACTTTGACCTTTTCGTGTTGCTGTCTACTGTTTTTTCCCACCTTAAATTTACTATCCCTTCCCCTTTGTAAAAAAAAATTATTATTTTGTGGGGAAGTATTACAAAGTTTCCTTTTCCTCTTCAAACTTCTATTGACCAGTCTTAGTCACCACTGACACTCTCATGTAAATCAACCACCTCTATGGTGGTTGCCAAATGGTGACTCTCCCTTTTCATCATTTGTCATTTTTAAAGACATTCAATATAACAAGCATTTATTAAGAGGATTTTATGGGTAAGATACTTGTCAAGGGCTGTTCACAGTTTGAGATTTTACTCTAGCTAACAGGTGAGTTAGCCTATTACTGTTTTGTGGCTGTGGGCAGAAAATACAAGACTCCTGGGTCCGAGGCAAAGGACTTTATTAGCAGGCAAAACAGTAGCCAGAAATTCATGTTCCTTTATTTTGGTTCCTCATACCCACCCCACCCCAAGTCCCACAGAGGGTGATAGAAAAGACCCATCATGGATATCTGTACACACAGTGAACTGAAGTTCAGAAGAGGAGCCCTAAGCTTGGGGGATTCAGTGTTCTGGTTACCTTGTGCCACTCTGACAAGAATATACCACAAATAGAATAGCTTGAACAAACAAGAGTTTATCCTCCTACAGTTTGGGAGGCTAGAAGTACAAGTTCAAAATGCCAGGCTCTAGAGGCTGAGTGAAAGCCCCTCAACCTTGGCCTTCAGCTCTTCCTTTTGTTCCTGGCCCACTGAAGCTAGAGGTATCTCTTCACTCAGGCAGCTACTGGCTGCTGAGGCTAACAAGCCCAAGGTCAACAAATAAAATGGCACAGTCCCAATGTTACCACATGGCAGGCCATTAATTCAAGTCCATTGAAAGTACCAAGGTTGGCAGAGCATGGCAGGCTGCTAAACAACAACACAGCTACATGCGGGGTTCAAGTGTGCCATAAGCTAAAGACCATTCCCAAAGTTGTTTCTTATACATGGGAAGCAGACCACATCCCTAAAGCAGCTACTCAGTTGATAGTGGTAGGTTTCACCATGAAGTTGATTGCCAGTCTCCTCAAGGGGAATAACTACCACTAGCTTCCCAGCCATTCAACCAGGCCCAGCCAAGTTGACACACAAACTTAACCACCACATTCACCATTTTTAGAGTAAGCAAAGCAAGCCTGTTTCTTGGCAAACCAAGTTAAACTCACTGCCATCGAGTCGATTCAATTTGACTCATAACAACCCCTCCTTGGGTGTCTGAGGCGGTGTCTCTATGGAAGTAGATTGTCCAGTCTTCCTTGAGTGGGTTTGAACCACCAGCCTTCTGGTTAGCAGTCAAATGCCTTAGGCACTATACCACCAGAGCTCCCAGTGGGGGAGATATTACTTAATCCTAAAGGTTTCTCCCTGCAAACACAGCCCTGAGAAATTGCCTGGAAAAAGAGTAGTCAGGACTTTGCATTCTTGGCATTCTGTAAAAGAATGCATGGGGAAGCTCAGGGCCCACGTACTCAGTGCTCTATAGCACTGTGTTAGTGAGAAAAACAAGTTTTTTAAATGAATTCCACAGGCTTAAAAATGTCTGTGGAAAAGAAAAATAACAGAATTTTCAATGGAGAGTTGAGATGTACAACATAGGTGATGTTCCCCCACTACACTCCAATAATGCTATTGCTTGCTTTGAGTTAGTCATCATTATAATATTGATGAGTTCATAGGAAGTTAGTTGGAAATTTCATGAGATAAGTTAAAAATTATTCATTTGCATGTTAAGAAGTTGTGTGTGTGTGTTTAAACTCAGCCTTCCTTAGTTGAGCCTTGGTGGCAAAGGGTTTAAAGCACTCTGCTGCTAACCAAAAGGTCAGCAGTTCAACCCACCAGTTGCTCCATGGGAGAAAGATGAGGCATTCTGCTCCCATAAAGATGTACTGCCTTGGAAGCCCTATGGGGCAGTTTTACTCTGTCCTATAGAGTCACTGTGAATGGGAATTGTCTCAATGACAATGGGTTTGTTTTGGTTTTATGCTTTAATATTTTTTCCCAAATATGCTAAAAAAAAAAAAAATTAAGATGTTTCTAAACATAGTGACATCCACCACCACCACAGTAACAATAAAAATAAAACAAGACAAACAAGTTGCTGTGGAGTTGATTCTGACTCATGGTGACCCTGTATGTTGCAGAGCAGAATTACTCTCCATAGGGTTTTCAAGGCTGGGACCTTTTGGAAACAGATCTTCAGGTCTTTCTTACAAACTACCTCTGGGTGGGTTCAAACCACCAACTTTGAGCTAGTAGTCCAGTACATATCCTTTGCACCACCCAAGTACTCCTACAGCAACAGTAATGGGTAGCATTATCTTGAGGACTTTCTATGTTGGAAGAACTTCTAAGTATTAGCACACTTAGGACTTATAATAATCCTATGAAATAGGCACTATTATCTTCCATAAGAAGAAACTAAGGCACAGAAAGGTTAAATATTTACCTCATGTCACATAGCTAGAGTATCAGTAAGGATCCTTTCTGCTACCATTGAAAGAAACCCCTAACAATAAGTGCATTTATTATCTGATAGTACAAGACAACCAGAAGTATAACAGGTTTCAGAGATAATTGAGTCAATAACTTAACAGATTCATCAATCAAAATGTTTTCCATCTTTTTGAAAGCTCATCATCCATGTATTGGCTTTGCCCTCTGGCTGGTCCCTCTGGTAGTCACAAGATGACTGCAACAATTCTTAGCATCACATCCAGGCATAGCAATGTCCAGAGTTGCAGAGGAGACCTCTTCTCTGTGTAAAAAGCTTCCACAAGCCCCTAACCCTAGCCCTTTCCTCATATTTCATTCTCCAGAACTGGGTTACATGCACACCCCTCAACATTCACTGCCCAGGAGAACAAGATCACCATGATGGGCTTAGACCAGACAAGAATGACCCTTGGCACTGGGGATATGGTCATCTCCTTCTGAGTTCTGTGGGGCAGGTCAAAGACTCTGTCAGCAAACAAAGAAGAGGAGGATTGTGTGGGGTGCCCACCAGCAGTGTCTTCTCCATCTGGTCACTGAGGAGCCAGGATGGAAGGACACAAACACTACACATAAAAGTCTTATAATTCTATTCGGGCTTTTGTGTTTCTCTTTTTTAGCTGACTTTTTAGAAACAGATAGTTCTGGTAAGTTTGATCACAATGACAGAGAGTGCATCCTAGACATTCCCCTTTTGTTTACTGTTTGAAATCCCTGTCATTACAAATACTTACTCTCGGCCTATCCAGATTTTTCAAGAATACAGTTTGAAAATCAAATACAATATTGAGTTATGATGATCTTAAGCAGTTCTCACGCTTTTTGGTTTCAGAAATCTTTTATATTCTTAAAAATTATTGAAGACCTCAAAGAGTTTTAGTTTATGTTTGTTATATCTACTGACAGTTACCATAGTAGAAATTTTAAAGGAGGAATGAAAAAAATATATATTTATATTAATTCATTTTAAAATAACAATAATAAACCAACTATATATTAATAAAATAATTTCTTTTTAGGGGAAATAACTGTTTTTCAAAACTTTAATGGAAGAGTGGCATTGTTTTGCAACTCTCTTTAATGCCTGGTTTAATGGAAGACTACTGAATTCTCACATCTGCTTCAGCATTCAGTCTGTCATGAATGCACATAAGCTGTAGCCTCTGAACAGCTCTACTGTACAAATGTGATAGAATGGTAGTAAAAAAGGCAAACAAAATCTTAATATTGTTATGAAAATAACTTTAACCTTGTGAGTTCTCTGAAAGAGTATCTGGGAACCTGATAGATTTCAGACCACACTTGGAGAACTGTTGAAGTACTTCTGCTTGATGTGCCTGTTCAGAGATAAGGATATTAAGGGAAGGCACTTAGATTGGTCATATCTCAGAGCAAGCAAATAAGGTTTCTAGTGAGTATTAGTGGAGCAATATCCAACATCCAGGCAATCTGATAATCCTGTACAGTGCAGGTGAAAACTACCAACCATGAGCTGGTAATTTAAAATGGTTTCCTCACTTCACCAATGCCTTAGGATATTTAAGATTTAACATGAATTACACAAAAATATCTGCACTAACAGACAATTTAAGGAAATATCTATTAAATAAAGCACAATTCTTCTCCATTTTTTTTTTCCAGACTTAACATTTCGGATAATTTAAAGATTGGCTTTTTCACCACAGATCATGCTACTCAAACAGATCCCAGTGAAATTTTGTCAATAAAAGAGTTGAGTTCAGCTACACAAAAACTAGTGCAGGTAAATCTGGATTTATTTTTAAACTTCTGAGATAATTTTTGGTATTCATTGCCTTTATTGAAATCCTTAACATTTGTAAAATATTACCACCTTTGACAAACAGAACTAGATGACATTGTATTTGAAAAATGATTAATATAAGCTACTACTTATATTTATGTCATATTTATATATGTTAGCTTGCTTAGTGAAGTATTTTGTTACTCTCTTTGGAATTCTTTTGATATTCCAAAATGATAGCATTTTTATGTATGATTCTTTTCTAAAATTATAAAAAATATTAACATGTATAAGAATAATATGATTAATAACGGTATTAGCCACCATAGAGCTTTGTCATATTTTGGGATTCTATCATATTCCTTTGGATTTCCCCTCCTCCTTTATTTGGTAAAGAAACATAACATTTCATATGTATCAGAGCTATTTTTAAAAACCTCAATCAATAAAACTGTTAGATGGAATAGCATACTAGTAAAAATACTCTTGTAACAATACTTCGATTTTGTTTTTGTTTTCCTTTTACAGTATAATTTTAAAATCATCCAATATTGGTACATAAAGATTATATTTATTTATTTCACAAGTAAGTTGTATTACATTCTGTGAATGTATGTCATATACCCCTACTGATTGGATAGTTAGGTTATTTCTGATCTTTTACTGCAGTGACTAATCTTGCACATATTCATATGCCAATAAATCTGTGGTATAAATTCTTAAGAGTGGAATTTCTGAGTCAGAGGATGTATGCATTAGTCATTTTGAAAGATATTGCCAAATTGCCCTGCAGAGAGATTGCATCAATTTACACACCCACAAGTAACTTTTCTTTTCCTACACACTTGCCAATTTATTCAGGTCTTTTTTTATGCCTTCAAAAAAGTGTTGTTTTTTTTTTTTTTTTTGCTTGTAACTAGGTGTGACTAAGTTTTGGTCAGTCATTTAGATGAAAATGCCTTGTGGCAGCTTCTGGAAAACTTCTTTAGACACAGCTCATGGATACCTTTGCTACTTTCCTTTCTCTTTCCCTCCCTCCTTTTCTTTCTTCATTGGCATCATATTCCTTACTTCTGTACTTCCTTAATTCTCTGCCTAGAGAATGGGTATCACCATTGGACATAAGGTTGAGGCAGTACATAGCAGAGTAACAAGATAGAATGGTCTTGGATTATTTTCACACTTAACCACCTATGCAGATTTTTAGTGAAAGAGAAATAAAAGTATTTCTCATTTATGCTTCTGTTATTTGAATTTTTTTCATACAGCTACAAATTCTAATAAACCAAACAAAACCAAAGTCACTGCCATCAAGTTGGATCCGACTCATAGCGACCCTCCTTGGGTTTCTGAGGTGGTATCACTGTGGAAATAGATTGCCCAATTTTCCTTCTGAGGAGTGGCTGGTGGGTTTGAACTGCCAGCCTTCTGATTAGCAGTCAAATGCCTTAGGCACTACACCACCAGAGCTCCTCAAATTCTAATACTGTATGCTTAAATGAGATTAAGGATGTTCCCTTCCGTTTCTAGTTAATACAAGATGTTTTTTAAACATCACGAATGAGTGGATTTAAATGCTTCTCATGAATCTATTGTGACGAACGTAGATCATATGGATTTTCTCCTTTATCTGATGATATGGTGAAATACATTTAATTGATTTTTAAATATTAAACTATCCTTGAATTCTAAGATTGAACTCAACTTGAGCATATATTTATTTTTCCTTTTCTTCATTTAGTTTGCTATTATTTATTGAGCATTGTTTTTGATTTATGTTCTATGTTTCCATCTGTGTTCATATGAATTATAAGGTCATATGTCCTATCATTTTCTTTTATTGTGATTTTGTTGTTCGATCTTAGTACCCCCAAAAAATGAGTTGGAAAGTGTTCCCTATTCTCTTCTCTAAAATAGTTGGCATGAGTTTGGGATTATCTATTTGTTCAATTATTGTTCAAACTTGCATGTAAAACTGCTTATTTTTATTGCTATTGTTTTGTTATGATTATATTCAGATTTTCTTAAATCTTCTTCAGTCAGTTTTGGTAGGTTACATTTTTCTGCCAAAGTATTTCTTTTGTGAAGGTCTCAAATTATTCATATAATATTGATGATTGTCTTATTGTTTTTAAATCTTTATGTATCCATGTTTTCTTTTTAATTCTTCATATTGTTTACATTTATCTTCTCTCTTTTTTCTTGATAATCTTGGCAGATTATCTATTTTATTAGTATTTTCAGGGACCCAACTTACAGATTCATTAAGTCTATTATATCATTATTTGCTACTTCATAAATTTCTTTTTTAATTATTATTTAATTTCTTCTACTCTCTTTTGGTTTACTCTACTACCTTTGGGTTTGTCCTATTTTTCTAATTCCTTGAGATGGATCTGGATTGCATATTGCTGCATGATTTGAAAACCCAAATAAAATGGCTTAACCAAAAAACAAGAAGTGGAGAGTTGGACAATCCAGAGTTAGGGAAGTAGCTCTCTGATGCCATCTGTCTATTAAAATAATTTAACCTTTCACATCTTCATCATCTATACATGCCAAAACAAATAGGAGCTGGTTCTCCTAAAGGTAAAGTTATTTAAGATCCCATTTGACCCAGGATATTTTTCCATGGTTTCTCAACATTGTACCCTTCATGAGACAGCAACTTTGTATACAGAAAGAATTACAGACTCCTGCATCAGTCATAACTTTGTTCAAACCTTGGACCTTCCACTTACTGGCTGTATAATATTAGATTAATCACTTAATCTCCTAGTATCTTGATATCATCTTCTGTGAAATAAAACATTCCACATAGAATAAGGATATTAAAATGGGATTCTTCTTAGGATTCTAATAGGTCTGTTGTTTTAACTGCCATTGAGTCAGTTCTGACTTATACTGACCCTATCTACAGCAGAACAAAATACTGCTCGATACTGCAGCATCCTTATAATTGTTGACATATTTGAACCTATTGATGCAGCCTCTGTGTCAATCCATCTTGTTGAGGGTTTTCCTCTTTTTTGTTGACTCTCTACTTTATCAAGCATGATGTCCTTCTCCAGGGATGGTTCATCCTGATAACATGTGATTAAGTCTTGCTATCCTCTCTTCCAAGGAGCATCTGGCCGTACTCCTTCCAAGACAGATTTGTTCGTCCTTCTGGCAGTACATGGTATATTCAATATACTTCTCCCACACTATAAGTAAAATGCATCAGTTTTTCTTCTGTATTCTTTAATCATTGTCCAGCTTTCTCATGCAATGAGGCAATTGAAAATACCATGACTTGGGACAGGCGTACTTTAGTCTTCAAGGTGACATCTTTGCTGTTTAACACTTTAAAAAGGTGTTTTGCAGCAGATTTTCCCAATGCAATATGTCATTTGATTTTTTGACTGTGGCTTCTATGGCCTGTGACCTGAGTAAGGTTGTTACATTCTACCCCTATCTCCTTACAGATTGGTTGATCATATCGGATCACATCATGTTGGATGATTACATCATTACATAACTGCCAAACTGCTGAGAATCATGGCCCAGTGAAGTTGACGCATGTTTTTGAGAGACACAATTCAATCCATGATATTCCATCCTTTGCTGCCCCCCTCTCCAAATTCAAGTCCTTCTCATATGTAAAACATTGTACTCCATCATATCATCCCAAAGTCCCAAATCAACTCCAAGTCCAAATTCCATCCTGAGGCAAAATTTCTCTTCATCTGTGAACCTGTGAAATCTAGAATACAAGTTTCTGTTTCCAAAGTACAGTGGTAAAATAGGTACGATATTACAAATGGGAGGCACTAAGTAAGTCCAAAACCCAGCAGAACAATTTCTGTGAGACTATCTGGGCAATGGCCGATCCCTCCAAACTCTCTGGATTCTGGGTGGAGGCCCCTCAGACCTCGGTGTCAACTCTATTTTCCAGGCTCCCTGGGATAGCAGCTTTTCTCCCTTGGCTTTAGGAGCCCCATTCTTCTAGTCCAACTGACGGTGCCCCAACCTAGGCCCTGATAGGCCCTGTTCTCCTGCCCCTTTGAGCAGTGGATTCTACTCCATCCCCCTGGCACTCATGCATGGCAACCCCACACTCCAGAACCAAGTTGGTGAAGATCTGACTCTTTAAAACCTAGGAGGCCCCACCCTTTGAGACCCCAGAGGCCATAGCCCCACCTATGAGACCTCAGAGGTCATGACTCTACCCTTTGAGACCAAGGCAGCTCTGCTTCCCATGTTTCTTGTCTCTTCCAGCTTCTGCGTCCTTGTTCCTTGGCCTCTTGGCCTCTTGACCCCTTGAGCCTCTTGGGTTACCCTGTCTTCTGCCCTGCTTGGGCAAATGTTACAAAGCTCTTTAACTCTACAAATAAGAGCCCAGAGGCACTCCTACTCTGCCAGTAAGCCTTGCCCTGAAGACACTCCACTCCCTTGCTCTGTGGGTCAGCTCCCATGCTGTCTTGCAACTGGTCTCCTGCTCCTGCTACCACCATATCTCTGCCACAGCTTCTCACCTTCTGCTCCATCTCTGGTGTTACAGCTCTTGTCACTTCTTTTGAGCCCTCACCAGAATTATGTTTGATGCCCATAATTCCACCAACAATCTCTTCAAGGCAATCTAGGCTCTTACTATTACCCACGAAACCCACTGCTTTTAAGTCAATTCCAACTCATAGTGACCATGTAAGGACAGAGTAGGACTGCTTCATAGGATTGCCAAGGCTCTGGATTTTTTATGGAAGCAGACTGCTACATCTTTCTTGCTTGAGCAGCTGGTGGGTTCAAACTTCTGACCTTTTGACTAGCAGCCAAGTACTATAACCACTGCACCACCTTTTACTTTTGTTTGTTGTTGTTGTTAGGTGATGTTGAGTTGGTTTCAACTCACAGCGACTCTATATACGACAGAACAAAACACTGCCTTGTCCTGTGCCATCCTCAAAATTGTTGCCATGCTTGAGTCCATCATCACAGCCACTGTGTCAGTCCATCTCATTAAGGGTCTTCCCCTTTTTCACTGATCTTCTGCTTTACCCAACATGATATCCTTCTCTAAGGACTCATCCCTTCTGACAACATGATCAAAATATGAGAAGCAAAGTCTGGCCATTCTCTCTTCTTGGGAATATACCAGCTGTACTTCCTCCAAGACAGACTTGTTAGTTTTTCTGGGAGTCCGTGGTACTTTCCATATTCTTTGCTAATACCACAATTCAAATGCACCAATTCTTCTGTGGTCTTCCTTATTCATTGTCTGGCTTTCATATGCATATGAAGCTATTGAAAATACCATGGCTTAGGTCAGGTGCACCTTTTTCTTCAAAGTGACGTTTTACTATTAGGAACTTTAAAACTGTTCGAGCGTCTCTACTCTTACCGATTTCCAAACTTGCATCCACACTTTAGGTTTCTGTTAGAGCATCACACTATTCCCAGTACCAGATTCCATCTTAGTTGTCTAGTGCTGCTATAACAGAAATATCACAAGTGGATGGCTTTAACAGACATTTATTCTCTCACAGTTAAGGAGGCAAGAAGTCCAAGTTCAGAGTGCCAGCTCTAAGGGATGGCTTTCTGTCCCTGCAGGAAGGTGCTTGTCTCCTTTCAGTATCTATGGGCCCAGAAACTCTTGGAGAACGCCATATGTCATGGCATCAATCTTCCCAGAGGTCTAGGAGGTTCTCAGCACAGGGATCCTGGGTCCAAAGGATGCTCTCTGGTTCTAGCTCTTTTTTCTTGGTGTTACTGAAGTCTTTCCTTTTCTGCTGGCCTCTCTCTCCTTTTATCTCTTCTAAGACAAGTGGACACTGTACCAAAAAGAACTGATCGATCTTCATCCATTTCAGGAAATGGCATATGATCTAGAACCAATGGTAATGAAGGAAGAAGTCAAAGCTGCAGTGAAAGAACTGGCGAAGAACAAGGCTCCGGGAATTGATGGCATACCGATTGAGATATTTCAACAAACAGATGCCCCATTGGAGGTGCTCACTCAGTTATGCCAAGAGATTTGGAGGACAGCTACCTGGCCAACTGACTGGAAGAGATCCATATTTGTGCCCATTCCAAAGAAGGGTGACCCCACAGAATGTAGAAATTATAGAACAATATCACTAATATCACATGCAAGTAAGATATTACTGAAGATAATTCAGAAACGTTTGCAGCAGTATATTGACAGAGAACTTCCAGAGGTTCAAGCCGGATTCAGAAGAGGACGTGGAACAAGGGATATCATAGCTGTTGTCAGATGGATCTTGGCTCAAGGCAAAGAATACCAGAAAGAGGTTTACTTGTGTTTTATTGACTATGCAAAGGCATTTGATTGTGTGGATCATGACAAATTATGGATAACATTGAGAAGAATGGGAATCCCTGAGCACTTGATTGTACTCATGAGGAATCTGTACCTTGACCAGGAGGCTGTCGTTCGAACAGAACAAGGGGACACTACATGGTTTAAAATCAAGAAGGGAGTGCGTCAGGGTTGTATTCTTTCTCCACACTTATTCAATCTATATGCTGAGCAAATAATCCGAGAAGCTGGACTATATGAAGAAAAACGTGGTATCAGGATTGGAGGAAGAATCATTAACAACCTGAGATATGCAGACGATACAACTTTGCTTGCTGAAAGTGAGGATGACTTAAGGCACCTACTGATGAAGGTTGAAGAATACAGTCTGCAGTATGGATTACATCTCAACATAAAGAAAACAAAAATCCTCACAACTGGACCAATGAGCAGCATCACAATCAATGGAGAGAAGATTGAGGTTGTCAAGGAATTCACATTGCTTGGTTCTACAATCGATGCCAACGGAAGCAGCAGTCAGGACATTAGACGTCGTGTAGCATTGGGAAAGTCAACTGCGAAGGAACTGTTTCAAGTGCTGAGGAGCAAGGATATCTCCTTGAGGACTAAGGTGCGCCTGACACAAGCCATGATATTTCCAATCACCTTGTATGCATGTGAGAGCTGGACAATGAATAGGGAAGACCGAAGAAGAGTTGATGCTTTTGAGTTGTGGTGCTGGTGAAGAATGCTGAAAGTACCATGGACTGCTAAAAGAACTAACAGATCTGTCCTGGAGGAAGTGCAGCCAGAATGCTCCTTGGAAGCAAGAATGGCCAGACTTCGTCTCACCTATTTTGGTCATGTAGTAAGAAGGGACCATTCCCTGGAGAAGGATGTCATGCTTGGTAGGGTGGAGGGTCGACGAAAGAGGGGGAGGCCTTCAACGAGATGGATTGATACAGTGGCTGCGATGATGGGCTCGAGTATAGCAGGGATTGTGGGGCTGGTGCGGGATCGGGCAGTGTTTCGTTCTGCTGTGCATGGGGTCGCTATGAGTCGGAAACAACTCGACGGCACTTAACAACAACAACAACAAGACAAGTGGATACTTCCAGTATTGCATTGTATTTGTTGAAATATCTCAATTGATATTCTGTCAATTCCCAGAGCCCAGTTTTTCACCAATGCCTTTGGTGTAGTTTGGACTTCTTCCTTCACTACTATCAGTTCTTAATCATAGACTACCTCTGGAAATGGTTGAATGTTGACCAATTCTTTTTGGTGCAGTGACTCTGTGTATTCCTTCCATTTTCTTTTGATACTTCCTCCGTTGTTCAATATTTTCCCTATAAATTATTCAGTTTTTCAAATTGAGGCTGGAATTTTTTCTTCAGTCTTTGAGCTTGAGAAATGCTGAGCATGTTCTTCTCTTTTGGTTTTCTAACTCCAGGTCTTTGTACATTTCATTATAATACTTTACTTTGCCTTCCCAATCACCCTTTGAACATCAGAGTATATCAGGTATCAAATATCATATCATAAGATATCATTTTTAGAATTTTCAAGGAAAATATTGTACATCAGATCCATGACTCTTAGGCCTTTAATCATATCAAGGGTAATTAAAAAGAGAGAAAGAGAGAGAGGAGGCTCAGACGGTGAAGAGGAAACATTTCTGACAAGGTTTCTTTGGAAAAAAATAGTGTCATGCTCCTCATTGGAGGAGGGATAGCAGGAAATGTCTCCCTCATTTCAAAGCTAATAAGGCAGACTTCTGTAGAACATGAAATATGTTAGCTATTGGAAGACAGAAGACTTGCATCAAGTAAGCTAAAATGGGCTGTAACAAGAAGATAATGTGGCTAAGTTGGTATCTGTCTACTATCTCAGAGTTGTTAGAGTAAACAATGTGTGATTATTTCCCATCAACCATATGTGGCCCACAAGAAAGAGGCAGTGTGGGTCATTTTTGGTCTTATCTACTAGGGTGACCTAGAAAGACAGAGTATGCATGATAGCAAGGAGAAGAAAAAATAAACTCCAGATTTATAGAGGTGGAGGAAGGAGTAGCAAGTGGTCACCCAGAATAGAAAGGTATCTACTTTGGGTAGAGGTGCATCTGCAGGAGAGGGGTTCCCGGCAACAGGAATCTCAGTGCCCAAGAGAAGAAGAGTTAGTTTCAGTGCCTACCTGACCAAGGTAAAGCCACCCCACCAGGTAGGAACAGCCATGTTCCTTTACCTCTCCTGATTTGTTCTGGTAGAGCCTGACACAACAGCTACCATGTGGATGAAAAGATGAGAGAACTCAAGATCAGAGCATACTCTTTTCTCTAAAGATTGCCCTTGAATTGATTCCAACTCATAGTGACCCTAAAGGACAGAGTAGAACTTCCCCCATAGGATTTCCAAGGATGTAAATCATTATAGAAGTGGGCTACCACATCTTTCTCCCATGGAACGACTGATGGGTTCAAACCACCAACTTTTTGGTTAGCAGCTGAGCACTTTAACCACTGCACCATGAGGACTCTCTCTAAAAACAAGCACCTGCTAACCCCTGCACTTAGCTTTTGACTACAAATAGAACTCTTACCTTTGAATGAAGTTTGACATGATTAAATTACAGTAGTTGTATTCTAAATGGTATTTTAAGGCTGTGTTTTGAGTGATAGTAAGACTTCCTGTCCCCGAGAATGAGCAGAAATGTCATGGAACTTTCCAAAGTTTTTATTCAGGCAGGGGAAGATTACCTAGTGAATCCATCTTGGATAGATTATGAAGGATAAAAATACATTCTATTTTGATTTTATACAATTGATTCTTATTCAACACACTGGTTATATACGTGGGGGCTCTGGTGGCATAGTGCCTAAGGCATTTGATTGCTAGCCAGAAGGCTAGTGATTCAAATCCACCAGTCACTCCTCCGAAGGAAGTTTGGGCAGTCTGCTTCCATAGAGATACTGCTGCAGAAACCCAAGGAGGGGTCACTATGGGTTGAATTGACTCAACGGTAACAAGTTTGGTTTTTGTTTTTTGGAGGGGGCAGTTTTGGTTATATGCCTAAGTGCCTCAGTAACAGATTCTCAACAAATGTTTATTCTGGCCCATCTTGTCTGATTTGAAAGCCATGTCTTAAAAATTAACTTAGAGGGCTGACAAAAAAGGCTGTTGTTAGTACAGGAATTTTATTCTGTATGGGGAGAAATTGCTAGGGATCGCCTCTCCCTTATCTATTAGCATATAGTAGTTTAGCAGATTAACTGTCATTTTGAGAGCCTGGACACCATGGGATGGAATTACTGAAGTTGTCTGATGCACAAAATATTTGAGAAGTAATCCTTAGAATGCAGGACAGCCCCTGACCAGGTTATGTGCCCACAACCAGGGACTGTGCTAGAATCTTCACATTGAGGGCCATTACTCTCTACAATAATATATGCTTTTCAATTTTTAGATTGTTAAATCCCTTCAAGTGGACTTTGGGTTCCTCAAACAATTGCTTCAATTGCAGTTTGAGGACCGACTGAAAGAGGAGGCTTTCAATCTCTTCAGTGTTCTACATGACAGAATCGCATCAATCGAGAAACATTATCAACAGGTAGAAGTTCTCAAATTCCCTTAGTTTTTATGTGGATTGATCTTGTACTTAGATATATGTATGCAGTTTTGAATTTAGTAATTTGTGGAAGCAATTTGATTTGCATATATTGTATCTTGTGTCATAGCTAATACACATATATATATAATACATATATATTATATATAATATATAATGCATATAGCTTTACTATGTGCCATGTACTTTTTTAAGTATTTGTATACAAACTCATTTAATCTTTAACCTGATACAGTTATAATCCATATTTTTATAGATGAAAAAATTGGCACACGCGAAGTTTTTTTAACTGATTTAAGGTCATCATTAAAAATAGTATAGCTTAGGTTCCAACTGAGACAGTTAGACTTGAGTTCTTGCTTTCAACCACAAGTTCATATGGTCTGATTTGTGCTCTCATGGCTCTTTAGGAGCCAGAGATGTGAAAATTATGCTGCTTTAAGAAATTCCGTAGAATCTGCTGTCAGATTAGTGTACTTAGCTGCCATCAAGAATAGGTGTCACTGTTATTTCTCTGCCATAAAAGAAAAAAATCTTTTGTTGACCCCACCATACCAAGTACCATGCTAAGCTGCTAAGTACATTCCTTCCTGGAGTCTCTCAGCTATCCTAAAGTGGAAATCTGATTACCCCTGCTATAGAAAAAGAATCTGGGCTTGCCAAGGTAAGTAACATGTGTAAGATCAGACAGATACTAAGTGGCACAATGACATTTAATTTCCAATTCTGTCTGACTTTAAAGCCTATTTGTTGTTTACACTTCATGCTGGAAGCAGAATTTAGATCAGATTTAAGGGTATTTTTTAATGTACTATCTTTTATTTTTATTCTAAGTGGATATATCAAATGTTTTTATCAGTCAGAAAATGGCTCTAGGTTGTGATTTAGCTACTCTGGATTTCCTTACATGATTATATCCTACTCAAAAAGTACAAAGACAAGAAGAGGATAAGAACTACAGATAGATTTTAGTACTTTTAAGAGCAGTTCTAGGAAAGGTAGATGTGTAAAATAAGATAAAGAGTTGGAATTATTTGCATTTATTTTATCCATATGATCTCTCTGTAGCTTTTGCTTAACTATAAAGTAAAAATTGAATGTGTTATAACAGATGCAATGTAGGAGAAATTATTATAAATTGAAATTTTCAGGAGAGTGCAATGATTTGAATGATAGCTTTGCACTATGAATCCCTTCATCATCAGTGTGATTCATGTTTGGAAACATATTGTGGTGCTCATTGTATTTATTTTTGGTTTGCAGAGTGAGGAGAGGATGAGAAAATGCTTCAATCAGCAGTTAGCTGATGCCATAGCTATTACCAAAGGAATGTACACGGTGGGTTTTTAGTGCTGTCACTGGTAAGACTGGCTTTATTTCCTGTGAGTACATACTGTGGGTTCCCAGTCTGTGTTTTTAGCTTTCAGGGTCTGTTTGCTCAGTTTTCAGGTTACTTCAGAGGGATCAAGCCTAAAACTATTCACACTCACATTAACTTTACCAAAAAAGCACCTAATTGTAACAGATATAATTTTCAAGAGACTGGAAAATTCCAATCTGCTATCCAAGACAGCTGAGTAAATGATGAAGTAACCCAAAGTTTGTTTGGTGGAGATGCAGTTGGATAGAAGAAAGTCAAATAGTCTTGAGAGATAGTTTATCAAGTCTGTACTAAATCCCAGTGAACGGTCTCCGACTCTCTATAGAGTAACATTTTAAATAATGGAGACCCTCTACCTTTCAGATATGGTGCTTCATTCTCCTACATAATGGGAAATTTCATACCACTTTTTTCAGACTTGGTAAGGACTTGGCACTTACTACGTCTTTTGGTACTTATAACTATAATCTTGCCTTCCATAGCAATATACTTCCATCAAGTAATGTTTTATACTTACAGCTAATTACTCACTGATTGCATAACACTTACCATCTCTTAATAACACTTAACATGTTAGTAGTTAATTACAGCAGTGCTTGTTAAATGTCTCTGTTCTGTGCCAGACTGTAAGCCTGTAAGGGCACAGAGACTTTAATCAACTTGCCCAAATCACAGAGCCTGATCAGTGATGGAGGTGAGAATCCCAGTCTGTCTCTAAAGTTTATTCTTAGATAATGAAGAATGCTTGGGCTTTCTGCGCAAAGAAAGTGACATGCTTCGTTATCCTTTAGAATGGATACTATACTGTTCTATTGAATGTAACTCTTGTAACAGCATTAACAAAGCTTTGAAGAAACAGAGATATGGATATTAGAGCATATAAAGACCATTTTGTCAGAGTCTCTTCAGTATCTAGCACAGTGTTTGGCAACAGTAACGTTTATAATACATATTTACTAAAGAAAGAAGAAAATGGAAAAAATTCAAGCTTCAAGTCATAATATTGAAGGATTTTGTGGGCAAAATTTTGAATGACACAGAAAGAATCAAGGGAAGATGGAAGGAATACAGAGAGACACTGTACTGGAAAGAATTGGTTGTTCAGCCGTTTCATGAGATAGCATATGTTCAAGAACCAATGGTATTAAAAGAAGAAATCCAAGCTGCATTGAAGACATTGGCAATAAGCAACGCTCCAGGAATTGGCAAAATACCAACTGAGATATTTCAACAAATTAATGCAATGCTAGAAGCACTCACTCATGTGTGCCAAGAAATTTGGAGACAGCTACCTGGCCAACCAACTGGAAGAAATCCGTATTTGTGCCCATTCCAAGGAAAGGTGATCCAACAGAACACAGAAATTATCCAACAGTATCATTAATATCACATACAAGTAAAGGTTTGCTGAAGACAATTTAAAAATTGTTCCAGCAGTACATCGACAGGGATGTGCCAGAAATTCAAGCTGGATTCAGAGAAGGACATGGAACTAGGGATATCATTGCCGATGTCAGATGGATCTTGGTTGACAGCAGAGAATATCAGAAAGATGTTTACCTTTGTTTTATTGACTATGCAAAAGCGTTCGACTCTGGATCATAAGAAATTATGGATGACATTATGAAGAATGGGAATTCCAGAACATGTAATTGTGCTCCTGTGGAACCTATACACATAGATCAAGAGGTATGTCATTCAGACAGAACAAGGGGATACCGTGCAGTTTAAAATCAGGAAAGGTGTGTGACAGGATTGTAAAACTTCACCATACTTCTTCAATCTGTGTGCTGAGCAAATAATCTGAGAAGCTGGACCATATGTTCTTTGTCTTTCATTTTGGAGAGTTTGATTATGATATGCCTCTGTGTTTTTCTCTTGGGGTCTATCCTGTATGAGATTCTATGAGATTCTTGGACAAGAATCTTTTCTTCCTTCATGATATGGGGGAATTTTTCTGTTAGTATGTCTTCCACAATTTTCTCAGTGGTTTTTTCGCCTCTTCTTGTTCTGGAATTCCAATGAGGCGTATGTTGTTTCTTTTCATGTCATCCCATATAACTCTTAGGTTCTCTTCATTTCTCTTAAATCTTTGTTCTGATCTTTGTTCATACAGGCTGGTGTCCAGGGATTTGTCTTCGAGTTGGGAAATGCATTCTTCAGCCAATTCTATCCTACTCTTTTGTGCTTCCACTGTATTGTGTAATTCTGTAACTTTGGTATTCATTTTCTGGATTTTTAACTGCTGTTTTTGTATGAGTTCTGATTGTGGATTAATCTTGCTATTTTTTTCTTGAATGGTTTTCCTGAGTTCTGCCAGGGAACTGTCTGTGTTCTCCTTTCTTCTGTTTGCATTAATCTTATTATTCTGTTCCTGAATGATTCTCCTGAGTTCCTCCAGGTAACTGTTTGTGTTCTCTTTATTTCTGTTTGGGGTTTCCTTAGGCTCTTATAGAGCTCTATAAACAAACCTTCTAAATTCCTTCTCAGATAATTCTATTGCCTCCTCTTCCACCATGTTTAATGAGACCTTTGTTTGAGGTTTTACTTGTAATGTCATGTCCTGTTTTTTGTTTGATTTGAGGTAGCCTATTGTTTCCCAAGGAGCTCTGGTAGCATAGTGGCTAAAGCACTTGACTGCTAACCAGAAGATTCAAACCCACCAGCCACTCCTCAGAAGGAAGGTTGGGCAATCCTACTTCCGTAGTGATATTGCCTCGGAAACCCAAGGAGGGGTCACTATGAGTCGGGGCCGACTCGACGGCACATAACAACAACAACAACATTGTTTCCTAGACATTTTGAGGTTGTCTTTAACTGTTGGTTATGTATTGATTTGTTTTGGCTTGGTTTAATGATTTAATATTTTGAATAGGTGGAGCTGGTATAATTTATTTTTTTGGCTATTAATTCAGGTGTGCTGGGTTGCTCTACAGTTTTCTTTATGGTGATAGAATCACTGTGTGGAATGTGGATACAGGTCTCTGTTAGTACTAAAGGAAGTTTAGGATTTGAGCCAACAGGTATTATGGTGGCTGAATGTGGTTTTTCTATTGGATGAGGGAGGGTAGAGGCAGAGAAAGTGGGAGGAGAAGAGAGAACTGAAGAAAAGTTCCAAGGTGCCAGGCACGGTTTCTAGGGCTTTGAGTAGGCTGCTAATGATGACGTTGTACTGTTATTCACAGGCCCACAGCTCTATTTCAGCAAATATTCCAATTGTTAGGGAGCTACCACTTTCCACTAGGTTCAGACACATGCCAAAACCCCACTCTTACAGCCTCTCTGTGGTAAAAAGCTGACCTAAGATAACTGCCCCATTCCACAATCCGCTGCAGGAGTTCCTCCCAGGGACCACCCACTTGTGGGTTTAATATTCTTTCTGCTTGGGCTTCAGTGGTGCCAGAGGCAGAGAAATGTCTGCTCACACCCAGCAGTCCCAAGTTTACTGATAATGCAGGTGCCGGCCCCTTGGTGCCAAAAAGCTGCCCCAATCCATGATCCACTATGGTTGTTCCTCCCAGGGCCCACCCACTTGTGGTGTTAATGCTCTCCTCCTCATGGACTTCAGTGGTACTGGAGCCAGAGAAATCTCTGCTTCCACCCAGAGGTCCCAAGTTTACCTATAAAAGCGGGTGCTGAAGGTAGATCTGTGGAGTGGCCGCAGGTTCTCTGGTGTTGTGTATTCTCTCCCCTACCCCAGGGAGATCTCTGATGGCCTTTCTCGCCTGCTGGTTGGCACTCCCCCAGAGAGGTCTCCGATGGCCTTTCTCACCTGCCAGTCAGCACTGCTCCAGGCAAGTTCCCCTGTTTTTATTATTTTTCCCCTGCCCCTTTCTCCTTTCTAATTCTACTTCCCTGAGTTTGGTTTACTCTGACTTAATGAACTGTTCAGAACATCAGAATCCCTATTTCAAACTGCTGCACCTAGTTTTTCAGGCACTAAGATGCTAGAGGGAATTACTGTGGGGACTCCTAAAGAGACACCATTTTTCCTGCTCCCTCACCCCATTTTATTGTCTTCCATAGTTACCCCTATCTGAAATTGTCTTGTCCATTTGTTTATTTATTTTAATGTGTTTCATCTCATAGAGTTTACGCTTCCCTAAGGTATAGTTCCTAAGGCATTTGACTGCTAACCAGAAGGCTGGCAGTTCAAACCCACCAGCCACTCCTCAGAAGGAAGGTTGGGCAATCTACTTCAGTAGTGATACTGCCTCAGAAACCCAAGGAGGGGTCACTATGAGTCGGATTTGACTCAACAGCAGTGACTTTGAAAGCAGTGATCTTGCATTTGTACCTAGACTGTGCCTGGCACATAGTAGGTACCAGAGAAGCACATGTTGAAAGAATAAATGAACAAATAAATGGGGTCTTTCTAAGTGGGAATCATTTTACACAAAGTTCATAAAAGAAAATAAAAATGGGAAACCAAGCCAAGTTCCAGCAAGATGGCAGAATAGGCAGACAAGCTACACAGATCATCTGCAAGAAAGCAATGAGAAACCAATTGAAACTGATATAGAAGATGATCCTGGAATCCTGAGCTTTGAAGGCAAGGATAAAGAAGTGGCCAACTAGTAGAAGGACCTGAATGAAAACAGTGAGTAAGGAGACAAATGAAACTGTGTACTGCCAGCTGTCCTGAGGGTACAGACATTTTGAATATTTTCCAGTAGCAACCTAAGAATCAGCTCTGTTCACTAGGGACTGCATGGGCAAGGACTGCTTTGGTGTCTGACAACAAAAAAGGAAAACAGTGAAGAAGGAGACAAACAGACCTATAGATTGCCAGTGGCTGTCCTGAGGGCACAGCCATTTTGAATATTTGCAAGCAGTAGGTGTAGCCATTTTGAATATATGCAAGTGGCTGTTTTTACCTGGACAGGGACCTAAAAATAGGCTCCACTTGCTGAGGACAGCATGGACAACTACACTGGAGGATGAATGACTAGAAAGGTGCAATATTCCT